CCAGTTCTGTACAAATAAATAAATAAATCTTTAAAAAAAAAATAGAAAGCCATTATTGCATATAGGTATTGTCACCAGGATTACAAAAGATATAATTGCATTTAATCTTTGCCTCTGTATCGGTTTTATAGGGAACCTGATGACTTGCCCTATATCTCCTTCCCTCATCTGAATTCACTGGCAGCTGAGCAGACAATTTCCACAATCTCAGTTTCTTTCTTTAGGTGTACTTCACTCATCTTCCTGAGAGCTCTCTCTTGCACCACGAAGGAATATTCCAACGTGTGTTTCACATGACTTCTTAAGATATGTTTCCCAGACATCATATCTGTGCTCAAGAAACACAAAGAGGACTAACTCAGGGGAAAAGCTTTATTTGCTTCTGAAAACAATAAATAGTAGCAGGAAGGTGTTAGGAATTACTTTTGCATGAAGGCAGTGTTTTTAATACTGCCGGAAGGGGAGTCTCTATATTTTTCTATAAACTCTCAGAAATGTGCCCAGTTTCAGGCAAGTACTAACAGCCCATCACCAAGAAGCTGAAATTTAATAATGCATGAGATTAAATTAGGGACATTTTCTTAATCTGAAGTGTGAACCTCAGTCTCATTGGTATCAAAATGTTTTTCAAAGTACTTAACAATAGCAATCAACAGTAAAAACAAAACAGACAAACTAAGAGTCACAAGTAGTGGCAACAGAACTCTTCTTCTGGCAGCTGGTGGGCCACTGTCAACACTACCTCCATAGCCTCTGTGCAGGCAGAAGGGTGGGGACCATCCATAGCTGCAGTGGCAGTGGTGTTTGTTATTGCAGGTCCCCTTCATGTTGCAGGTCTCAGGCAGGCAGGCTTGTGACAGGAGAGGCAGGGTGACACACTTTTTGTGTATGCACATCTGTCCTGGGCCACAAATGGTGCCATCTTTTATGTCACCAACATCAGGTGTGTCCAGCCCTGAATGATAGTCGATACCCCAGCAGCTAACACCATTGATGTGAGAGTACTGCAAAACAGAGTGATCTTTCATGTAGGGAATGTTTACCACATTCTCACATTGAACTCGCCCACAAAAGATATCAGAGGCATTACATTTTAGGTATGTTGTGCCATTTGTCCCACAATGGCCAAAACGATTTCCCTGGGAGTTGATTTCTTTATAGCAATTCTGAGATGCACTCTTTGCACCTTCACCAAAAATCTCCATGCACTGTTTGTCAAGGCTGTTACATCTCTTTTGATAGCAGTAGGCACTGTCACTACAGGGAATGCCATCCTGCACATATCCATCTTCTGGGCACTGAGGGGATGTCCCATTACACCACTCTGGAAGGTCACATTCATTTACCTGATGTCTACAGAGTTCTCCTGATGGCAGGAACTTGCAAGCTTTGCAACAAAGCCCAGAAGCACAAGCAGCACCAGGACTCAGAGTGCAGTTTGAAAGACAACAGGCGTCTTGTTCACACTGCCGTATAGTTCCACAGTCACATTCCTCTTCTCTTTCAGCTACACCATCCCCACAGCGCTTCAGCATAAAGATTTTCTCTTGACTTGGAGGACTGTGTAGACATGATCCCAGGGTAAAAGTGGTCTCCATGAAATCTACATAACTACAATTGGTGAATCTCTCTGCTGGCACTCTGACTGCATTCATGATGCAGCCACTTTGCCCACACACACAGAATTCTTCATCATGCTGCATACCCAAAGTATGACCTAACTCATGGGCCACAGTGAGGGCAAAAAGATACCAGGAATCTCCCTGGAAATTATTAACTCCACAGTCAATAGGCGGACGACATATTCCTGCAACATAGGCTATCCCAAGTACACTTATACGTGAGTTTTTAATGAAAATATGTGCAGAATCATACTGTAGTTGAGAAAGACTGACTTGTTTCCAGTGGGAGAAGTCCTCCAGAACCTGATTTATATTCATCATTGAGAAAACATTTTCATTATTCCAAATTTCAATCCCAATCAATATTACATAAATATTCAACTGCCGATAAATGGAATCGACTATGTTGACAACAAGAAATACATCCTCCTGTACATTTGAAAAGTTACCTTGGGAGTCCATGAAGAAATCATAATCTACCACCACAAGCAGCTCCAAAAACCATGAGTGGGTCCACCAGTTACCAGTAAATTTTTGTTTCAGAGTTGATTTTTTTGTCTCTTCATATCCCAGCTGTTGGTATGCTGTTTCCTTCTTTGTTAAGCCACATCTCACAGGTGAGACTTGTGTTTCATTAGCATTTATCTTATAAACCAGGTGTTCAAATGTGGTAGATTGCCTGATGGGCTCAATTTCATAGGCAAGGCCATCTATCAGTAACATGCCTCGAAAGCCTCCAGAACAGGTACTAAGGGCAACGAGGGACTCAGGGACCCCCTCCACATAACCATGGTGGTAGCAGTCATTAGGAACGAAAGGCTGATCCTGGTGGAGGGCATGCTGGTCTGTATAGGTGAACACTGGGAGGTGTCTGGATATCAAGAATTTCTTGACCCTCATGTGGACAATGTGCCTCTGGCCCCCAAACTTCAGGTTGTAGGAGAGATGGTCTGGAACATTTGCACCTCTCCCCATGGCTGTCACCTTTAAGGGGATCACTAGTTCTGGGAAGCTGAGTTGTTGGGAGGGCCTACCCTGGGAAAGGCTTGATAAAGACAGAGACATCCTAAGCCAGAGAAGCAGAAGAAAAATTCTCATGGACACCCTGGCCTCATCAAATGCCATTATGGGACTATTAGGTAGCCATCTAGAAGAAGAAAAACAGCAGGAGGCACTGATGGTGCATCCCCTCCCTCTGAGCCAGTCATTGTGTAGAGTGGAGCTCTGGCTCTGTGTCCAGGCAGTATTCAACCATCAGAGCTGTAGTCCTGAAAGTGAAAATAGAAAGAAGGGTGGGAATGGTGATAAGAGTGAGTAAGGAAGGGTAAAGAGTGGAGTGGCAACAAGTAATTAAAGAATAAAGAAAATGCTTTGGTTTTGCTACCAGTCTAACAGCTTACTTCTTTTTTTTTTATAAGTTTATTTTTACATCATTTTGTACATTTTTTTTCATCTCAATTGTAATCCCCACAGGTTTCCCATCTACTTCTGTCTTTTTTAACCTCAAACTATCTACTTGTCTCCTTGCTGTTTTCTCCTTTATCCATTAGTCTGTTGGAGTAGGTCATTAAGTGGAGGCTTTATGTTAGCAGGCTTTAGTATCTCCCATAAATCCTAGTATAATTTTCCATACAGTGAAAAATGGAAAATGAGAAGGGTGATGGAATACTTGGGCCAAAGCATGAATGCTACTTAAATTGTATTCATATTCAATTACAATTTTTAGAAGAGAAAAAAAAATTCATAAAAAGCTAACATCTTGTTAGCTTTAAAAGAAGAGGGATGACAGTTCTGCTGGAGAATATCAGAGGATAAAGGAAATACCAGAAGAAGAGAAGTGAAAAAGAACTTTGTATTTTTTAGGGTTAATGCATTTGAGTGCCCAGTGCCTTAGGCTTGCCAGTGAAAATTCCTAATGTTTGTTCAAATGTATTTATTATTTTTTTTTGTTCAAATATATTTACCAGCAGTTTTTGAATGTGGAAAATTTCTGTACCTGACATATAGTCTGGCTGGCAACACTTATCCATTGATAAACAGTACTAATTTATTTAGAACATACAAAGCACAAGGGCTAGATGTTCAGAAATAAACTGATAGAGCATTGAATAAATTACCAACTTAGTGTAGAAATTTGTGGCAGGAGCAAGAATAAGTTTTGAGGAGTTCCGCTGGATTTTCTATATTCATTTTTACCTTTGTGCCTCACTCTTGGATCTAGCACTCACTATCATTCTTGCTCAAATTTCAAAGACTTCGACACCCCACTCAAAGAACTCTTCTCCACCAACAATCCTGCCTTTACCATGACTAATGATAGCAACTTTATAGACAATTTATTTGCAAACTCGAAGGGTTTGCATTTTTTATATTTCTTCAATTCATCATTTACTCAGCTTACTGACCTCCTAACCTATATTGAACCTACTAATCAGCCATAACCTATACCTAACCATGCTTACATTTCTTACACCCAAACCATTTCTTACATCCTAAGAAGTTTACCAATAACTTTAATCTCTACCTTATTCCTGCTGTACTTATTTCTCAATTCAAAGACTTGAACCCAAATGCTTTTTTTTCTTTCATGTCCCATTTTTCTTAGTTGCATGACCTTGTCCTATATGCCATTTCTCTTGAGTCGAGGTCACCAGTTCTATCACTTCAACCACTTTGTGCCAAAGCCTATCAGAACTATTTTTTAAAGATTTATTTATTTATGCATACAGGACTTGGGTATAGGCCAGAGGTGCAGGGTCCTCTGGTGTGAGGATTCACCAGAGACAGAGTGGGGAGCAGAACAGGCAGATCGTCGAAGTACACTGCTGAGGGGAGCAGTGGGCGGGCCAGGAGAGGCCTGTTCTTCCATGTGGATCACCTCTGGGGCCTGGGATCAAATTTATGCTGAAGTGGTTTTGCTTCTTAGTACTGTGCTTTAACCTGCTGCACTACCAGGGAGGGCCCCAGAACTATTTTTTTTAAGAAAACCCAAAAATGGATTAATTTTGTCATATACTTTCTCGTGTTTACATAAAAACTGTCATATAATACTAGAAGAAAGATCTTAATGTTTTCAAAAATCTTAAAGTACAACACACTGAGGTGTGAAATTGTACTCTTGTTGTGTAAACAAATGGCAAATCAACAAAATTGGTCTAAAAGAAAGGGAATGCACAATCAGAACTGGAATGCTTTGTCTGACTCTTCACCCTAAGGGTTGGAGGCAAGAAATCAGCTGATATTCTCAGTCCTTCTACATCTACTGCTCTTTTTCTTAGCCCCCTGGATATGACATTTACACACCTCTAATAGTCTGAGTTCTGCATTTATGTGTTGGTAGCTAAAAGTACAGTTGGCTCACTTTTTAATCACAGAGTTAGTTTAATCAAGTAGACTTCATCTTTTCCTTTCTAATGTACAGCAATTAAGTTTATTGTTTATCCTAGATTTTCTGTGTGGATACTAATAGATGGGGAGGATTTATTTACTTCTGAAGAGTATCCTTGGTGTTAATCTGCTTAGAGAGCTTGGGTCCATCAGAGTACATTCCATAGACACTTTATTCTAAGGTGCATGTAGTCCACAAGAGAAAAGTTCATAGACAAATTCAACTGAATAAAAACTTCCAAGGACAAAGATCTCTGAATTTAGTGAAATCCTAACTTTTAGATTTGTTCTCTGTGCCTCTCATGATATATTTACTACTTATTATGGAGTGGGAGTTGTTGTAGGTGGGAGGATGGAAAATTGTTGTAGATGGGAGGACCTCATCTTGAGAGCAGGAAAAAATAGGAAAATGCTTCAAAGAATCTTTAAGTCATACTCTTTGCCTTCACTTTATTAGCTTTAGAAACTCAGAGACTCAAACTTCTAAAGGAGCAGCACTCGACCAGTAATACAGTGAAGTGGTATCTTTAAAAATCTGTGTTCTCTAACATTATTGAAATCTCAAAACGTGCCGCAAAGCCCCTGCATGTGTTTTATCAATTCTTCCTTTCCCTATAGTTATTTCACATTCCTCAAACCCTCTGTTATCCATCTCTCCTCTTACTCTGCCAGTGTGAGAGTATTCTTTCTCATCTGTCTCTTATGTCCAGCCTACTAGAGAGTCATCAGATCAATTTAATGGGTCACGAACTGGAGCATTTTCTTTAACAAAATTGAATAAAATTATCAGAGGCTTTTCCTAGCAGTCCTCTGGGACTGTGTGTGTCCGTCCACTGGGCCACAATATAAAATGGACTTCTTATGGAACATAGTTAAAAGATATATTCAAAGTGATGCCAAATTCAAAGGCAAGTTTGTTCCTTGTATTTTCACCGTCACAGGCATATCTGAATCCATGTGCATTTCTATTTCTCCTCAACCCTACTTCACATTCGTCTCAGTGGAAAAGGGATCTTCCCTCAGTTTTAGGTAATAGCCCCTCATCTTCTTAATCACATCTCTTACATACTTAAACACAATTTTCCCTATATTCAGCTAATTTATCTATTCTTTATTGACAGATAAGGTACCCAATTCATCCTGACTTGCCCAGGACAGTTTTTAAAACTGAATGGTCCACAACATCTCTTCAGTCCTGGGTGAACTGGAATGTTTGCAATACCTTACCTCTATCCCTACTCATGCTCAAGTCTCTCCCATCTTTACAAAGGAAAGTAAAACAAAAATTAAGAATTTACATTATCCATTGTTTTACTACTGTTTCCAGTTTACACAAACAGCCAAAATTGATGAACATCTTACCAACAGAATTAACAGTTGCCATGACTGTTTTTCTCCTTGAGGGTGTTTGTACCACACTTATCAGTGAACAAAGTTTGGCAGTTGAGACCTCATATAACAAAGAGAAGGATAGGTCTTCCCTCTTTTGTCTCTCAGGTAACTAAGTTCTAAGTTTAACTGCTTAGCAACAAGGATCTTCACTTCTCCAGAAACAACCAGTGGTTGATATCTTGCTCTGTCTCCAGCATTTCAAATTTATATCTCACTTAAATATCACTGGAATTGATAACCTCATTTTATGTCATTCTATCGTGTAGATTCATTTCTGCTTCATAATTTTGCCCATCTATTGTATATAATTACTTTTCACTATTGGACTAAATTACAGTGTCTTTCCAAGTCCAGATTAAAATTCTATGGCAGTATTAAATCTTTTCAGAATAATCTAGGCAACAAAAACAATCTATAATTCCCTTATATTCAATATATTTTTCTATTTATAAATTTATGCCTTTTCCATTTTGTTTATATACAAGTTTCAAACTGTTTTTTGAGGTAAATATACTCAAAATGGTTTGGTTGAGAATCTATGGTATAATTTTTTTTTTAAGATTTATTTATCTATGTATACAGAACCAGGGTACAGTCACGGTGAAAGGATTCACCAGAGACAGAGTGGGAAACAGAATAGGCAGATTGATGAAGCAATCTGAGAGGAGCAGCGGGCAAGACAGGAGAGGTCTGCCACGCCATGCGGCTGCAGCTAACTTCATAGTGCTATACTTTAACCCAATGAACCACCAGAGAGGACTCTCCATGCTATATACTCTTTGATAAAATACATAAGATCATTTCAACTATAAAAATATTACATAGAATAAAAACATTTAAAATATTTTAATTATAGCTTTGGGTAGGTTCTGTTGTGCACAAAATGAAGAAAGATGTAAAAACGTATATATATTTCGATATTATTTAAACAAAAAAAATAAAGGGATTCTTTCAGTGAACCTTGTCAACCTCCTAATATCACTGGTAGATTTAGAACTCTGTAGCTATCAGAAGAATTTAAAATGATAGTCTCCTGTTTCCTCTCATGAAATTTTCTTCTATTCTTGCTGGTTTCTCCAGAAATCTGCTTGGCAGATTCCTTTCTATAAGCTGTTTTATTCATCCAGGCAAAAGTAGAGATAGTTATGTCTTAGAAAGGGTCCTTAGTTTCACTGCAGTCTTCCTTTGTTACTTTGGATGAAGCTATTAAGTTAACCAACAGGAGTATAAATGCTGTTGAACATGTGATCACTCCCTGGACCCTTGCTTTTGTCATCTTGGAGTTGGATGAAAAAATGAGAAGAGTTCTATGAAAAATTAAAGAAAATACAGGAGAATAAAAGAAAAAAGGTTTGCAAGAAAAA